TGAAGTTCGTGTTTGGAAGGGATGCCTTGCTTCTCGGATCTGTACGTATGCTTGAGCATCGAGGTGGTCATTGGTCTGGTTCAATGAAGTCCTTTGCTGCGAAGTCAAGTCGTACTCTAAATCCTTTGAGTTGTGATTGTGTGCGGCATGTCTGTTGTGATTGGTAGGCATTCTTTCATTCAGTTGTGATGGGATCGTCTAGTCTTTGGATGTTCGTCTTTGTTGTTGTGTGTGATCTATATACTGCATATTATGATTTTACATTTTATAATTTTGTGTTAATTGTTTTTTAGTTATGATCTTGGTTAATTGTTTTCACAACAGCTTTTTATTTTAGTTCAGTTATTTTGAAGAGTTACTCACCCTTGAGTACCTCTTATTAAAAATAAAAGCGTAGTCACAAAGCGTGGTAAAGCGCGGTGGGTTAGGCCGGCTATAGAGCATGCTCAGGACGTCCTCTCTGGTGGGTTAGGCCAGGAGTGGGAGTATGATTTCGTGCGCTTTCTTTGAGGGGTCCTGTTTTGTGTTAACATTATATGGTGGGTTTTTCTGGGTTTCCTTATGTTGTTTATGGTTGTGTCCTTTTTTCAAAAATCAAATTGTTTTTGGTTTGGGTAGGTCTTTCGACTTTTTTGTGTTTTATTATTTCCTTCGTTGACTTTGTAATAGTCTTCAAAAGAATAAATTATCTAGTGTTAAGCTGGGTTAATCCGGTTTGGGTACCGTTGGTGTTCTTTTCTTATTCATGCTGTTATTTTATGATTTGTGGTGTTTAGTCATTCGCGTTGGTTAGTTTAGTATAGTTTATAATTCCATTCCAACCGGGTTAAAGGAAAGTTGGAAACTTGTTATCATTAGTTTGAGTTGTTGTTATTGAAAGCTTGGAACATAAAATCATTGTTTTAAACAATTCTTTGTGGGCGAGCTGTGCGAGTATGGATAGAATTCTTGTGCGAATGAATGAAAAGGTTAGTACTGCTTTAGCATTTTATTAATTTACTGCTTGAATTTTACTACATTTGGGGGAATTTGAAGTTATAAGTTTTCATCGTATGTAAGTTTTTTGCTTGGTGGCGAAAAATTTATTGATTAATTTTTTACATTTGTATGAATTTTAAAACATCATATAGTGCGAAGGGTTTAGATTGTTTAAATTGTTTTAGCAAAATTGTTTTAGCAAATAAGTTTGATGAATTGTAGTTTCTAAAAGTTTTCTATTTTTTTGTATTTTTTCATTTTGTAGATGATGGTGATGAGAGGGCTAGAAAAAGAAAATGAAACATTATAATGAATGGTTAGTAACTTACATATTTATTAGTGAATATAATTGAAATATACTTATCTAGTCTTCGGGGAAAAATCCATGGGGAAAAAGGTCTTGTATTAGTTCTGATGATCTGAGTAATTTAGCTAAAATACGAATGATATTTTTAGTTTGAAGCAGTGGCCAAAGCAATTGAAGTGCTTTGATGTTATTTAGTTCTTCTGTGCCAACTGCAAACTCATGAGGTGTGTTTTGAATTAAGTTATAAAGTTTATGGTTATATTTGGTGTTATGTATAAATTCAAGAATAGGGATTTCAATGGGTTGTAGGAATTCATGCGGGACGAGGAAGGGTCGGGATTCTTTGTCTTGGAAGGCGTTGATGATGGAACAGAATATATACATTTGATGAATGGGGTCATAATTACGGATTGTGCCGTGAAGGTTAGTATTTTTTATACAATAAGTGAAGTTAAGGAAAAACGGTGATGTGTATTTTGAGTTGAAGAATTGAAAACGATGGTGGGGTTGTCGTGAGGGTGTATGTAGATGGAAGTGATTTTGAATAAAACGATAATATGTGTAAGTGTGCGTTTGTTTAGTGCGTAACATAATATCGTGGGAGCAGTGCAGATCTCGTTCCTGTGGTGTAAGAAAGCGAAAGGTTAGTGTGAATAAATCAAATTTGTCTTGGAAGCTTTGATAGGCTTGTGTGTTAATGAGGGCTTCTGAAATGATGTGGTCGTGTTGTTTGTTGAAAATATTAAGTGTGAAAAAATATGGTGTTGAAATGAAAAATTTTTCTGTTAATTGTGGGTTAGCAAAGCGATCATCATCTAAAAACTGATCGTGGTTAGGGCGTATGATGTTGTGATCGTAATATTCAATAGTGAAGTCGTTAGCGCGGGGTGCGGTGTATTCATTTAGTAGTTTTTTGAATCCTATATAAGTGAATTGTCGTAGTGTTTGTGCTGTTGTTAGTTTGTATAATATATCTTTGCAACTTTCATTATCAGTTTTAGTGTTATAAAGTGGTAGGTAAAGAGGGTTAGTATAGTGATAGTATGATATCCAATGAAGTGTTGGTATTAAGACGTATTCGTCTACATAATTTGTGGTGTCATCGTTAGTTGTAGATGTGTTGAAAGTGTACTGAGGAAATGATGGTAGATTAGTTTGTAGGAATTGTTTGGTGTTTATATGTTTCGGATGATCAATATATTCTTTTGCTGTGCATGGTTTAGTAGTAAATGGGTGATTTGGGAATTTTCTTTTGAAAGTGCGGTAAGCTGTGTTAGTGCTAGTGGATGTTTAAGTGGAGGTGGATGATTGGGTATAGTCTGATAGTGGTGTTGGTGTTGGGGGTCCGGAGGATGTTGTTATGAATGAAAGGTGATGTATAGTAAGAGTATTGGGATGGATAAGTTGTTGTTGGAGGGTAATATAATTATCTAGTTCTGAGGAAATTTGAGGGATATCTGGGGAATTGTTGGTTGATCTGTCTGAAAGGGATGGAGTATAGGTTGGGGTGACTTGGGATGGATAGGAGGGAGTGGAAAAGGATGGGAGTGGTTGGCTGGCAATTATGGGTCTAAAAGGGGGTTGTGAAAAATTTTGGGAGTTGGTTTGGGAATAAGTGGAAGGAGAGGTTCGGAATTGGCAAATTCGTCGGGGGTTTCAAGGTCTGAATTGTTAAATTGTGAAATTGTACGAAAAACTGAGGTATCTGAGTTAGTGTCTGAACTCGTGCTAGATGGTATGTTAATTACAAAATCAGGTGGGGGAAAAGCGAAAAGTGGTATAATGGGAACTGGGTTTTGGAGATTTGCTGGGTGGGAATTTGAACGGTGGAGAGATCCAAGTTGTCGGCTCAACGTGTGCTAAAAAAATGATTATTTTGCGATTGAAAAGTGGTGGTGTGGGGTTGTTCTATAATTTGTTCGTATGTACTAACATTTTGTAAATGATTTGTCGTTATATGTTGAATAGGGCTGTGTATGGAATGTGGTCGAAAATTTGGGTTATTTGTGATTGCGAGATTTCGAAAATTTCTGGGAACTAGGGATAAGGGCTGATCCTTGTGGTGCTGTAGGGGTTGTATCTACGTTGTTGTGTTCTTCGTCATATGTATTTGGTCTTGTGGCTAGTTTTGTATTATATTCTTTGATTTGTGCGTCTAGAAGTATTTTGTTTATGGATGGAGAAAATATTCCAAGAAATCCTGCAAATAATATGCGTGCTACACTTGCTTGGCGGTTGACTTGTGTGTGTATAGCGCATGTATTATAGATTCCTTTCAGTAGTGAGAAAAGAAATCCTATAAAGTTAAACATAGCGTATAAGATAGTCAATCGTTCTAAGATGTAATAGGGCCATCCTAGAAAAGCGAGTATTTCGTTTTTTAAGGTTACAAAACTGAAAATGTTTATGGGTGAAATATCTTGTGGTCTGTATTTTTCGCCGTTTAAATAAATTTAGTCTTTAATGTCTTTAAAATATCCGCTGTATTCTTGAGTGTATATGTCTGCAAATCCTGCGGTTTCTGCAAGTTTTCTTAAATTTTGATCAATTTTGATTGTCTTTGTATGGTGTCCATTTGCGTGAGTAATTCTTGGAATTGTTGTGTTCTAATATGATGTTGTATATCAGATTTAGAATAAATTCCAATGGATTGTAAATCTATATTGGGGTTTCGAGCAATGGCTCTTATGCTTTCCGGGGAAAACTTTTTGAGTGATTGCATTAATGTAGGGTATGGTGTTAATAGATAATATTTATCTTCATCAGGGTTTATTTGTACTACATTATGGCTGTTTTCTGATCCACATGGGACTGCGGTATCCCAAAAATATGTTCTTCTTGAAAGTGTGTCGACAAAATGTACTTTGTTTTTGTAGAATATGGGTATTCTTTTGTAACAACGTTTATCTTCAAAAACGTATAATGGTGATACTTTTTAAGTGCAAGTATAAAACCATAAAATGTTTCCTTCGTAATCAAGAAATTTGATCTATTTCCTGATAATAAATATCCTGCGTAGGGTATTTTTAATACTGCTAATGCGAGTGATTGTAAAATTTGTGTTCTTTCTAATTCGCATAGTTGATGTAGTGTTTCTAATTCTGAAAGTGACATTTCTTGGAAAATTCTACTAATTGTGTAGTCTAATTTCATGTCTGAATGAATGTCATAATGTATGTTTCCAAAATATGTTGTGTTCATAAGTGATAGTTCTTGTAATCGGGTACTTTGTTTGTCAATTGGTGTTAATTTTCCACCTAGGTGGCCAATAGATTTTTGGAAATTAACTGGAGTGTAGGGTTTTCCGTCGTATTTATATTTTGCTGTTGCGTGTGGATTTACTTTGATTTTTCCAGTGGTCATGTCGAAACCTTGTTCGTACTCGACAAGTATTTCGGAGTATTGTGTTTTGTAGAGTGGGTTTGCGTATTTACATGCAAATTCTGTTTCTTGGTAGATTTGAAAACGTGTGAGTTTGTTTTCTATATTATTTAGATTTCTGAAATCATTACCTCGTTTGTGATGTATGTTTACTTGTTCGTATGGGATGGATTCAATGAAGTATTTTTCATGAAATTTTATCATTCTAGCGTGTATCTTTGCTACTTGAAATGTTGTGCATGTATCTTCGGGAAACCAAACAATTGTTGCTTGGGTTCTTGTTGTGGGGTCACAATATCCTTGATAATTTTTACAAGGTAATCGAATTCCTTGATAGATCATTGTGTTATCTTCTAAAACTCGTGTGAGTTGTATTTTTTCGAGTTGTATTTTCAAATCAAAAAACATTATTTTTTGGTATCCTCTATTTTTTGTATCTGCTTTACAATTTGAGGGGTCGTTTATTCCAATGTGTGGTATCCAATGTTTATCGTCGGGATCATAAGTTAAACGTCCGTGTGCGCCATTGAATGGGTATTTTTCGTCTAATTTTATATGTCCTTGATAGCGTTCAAGTTCTGCTTGGTGTACAGAGTCGCTAAAGACATGGAAGTTTACTATTTGTCTTTCTGAGTGTTTGTTCTTTGTGAGATTTAACCTGTGTAATTCGACTTTACAATCATCGGGAATGAGATGTAAAAGTCTTTCAATGTTGCTTTGGTAAAATGATTCGTGGTCGAGTCAATTTTTATTTCCGTTTGAAACTTGTGAGCAATGTACTTTCTTTTCGGAAAATGTTGCTGTAAATTTATCTCTGGTTAGTGCTGTTGCTCGTGCTTTTGAGTATAATGTTGCTATTATGTTTGTAGTTTCTATAGCTTGTGGTTCTGTTTCGCATTGTGTGACTTGATTTATTGCATGTTTTTGTAATGTTTTTTGTTCATTTTCTTCACAATCATAATGTGTTACTAGTAAATCTTGGGGTCCTCTCCGAGGAGATGGACTTATATTTTGTTCAGAAAATGTAAGAAAAATGATGTGTAGGAATAATAATATCTTTAAAAGATACATATGTACGATAGTCCTGAATATGGGTTATAAAATGTTATATATCCTATTGTGGTTTTTGTGTATCTATCGTACTTGTATATTACTTCCGTTGTAATAAATGGTGATGATAGTGTTTGAGCTGTAATGTTTGAGGGGCTTAGTGGATAAGGGTGTTGAACGATGTTATTAAGTTTAACTGTGATTTCAAACTTTAATTGAAGGCTATTTTGATTTAGTGTTTGAACATTATGTTCTCGGATATCTTCGTGGATATCTTGTCTGTATTTTAATCGGTTTAGTGCCCAACTGTGTAGTCGGTGGCTTTCGTTATGTTGTCCTAACAATGGAGGTGGTGCTACAAATGTATTCCAATCTAATCGGAGGGGTATATTTGTAGGTTGTTCACTATATCTAGTTTCAATATTGTGTGAGATATTGAAAGGGAAAATTGATGGTGAAATTTGACTTAAGGATGGTGTTGATGGAAGTGATAGTGTTTCTGGTAGAGATGAAAATGTTGTATCGGATGAAGTATCTATTGGGTCGTTGACTAGGTTAGGTTCTCCTTGTGAGTAGGATTGTGTTGCCCAATGGGGTAGACGTTTGTTTGGCTTAGGTGGATTAAAAAGGTTCTCTCGTACTTGTGCTGAGGTTGGTGTTGGTCCTAAGTGTTCTGATTGAATGTTAGGAGTTAGCGTTGGTGTATCTGGTAGTGTTATACTAGAGTTTTCTGAAAATGATGGGGTTGGAGATTGTGGTATGCTAAAGGTAATTCTAGGAGTTTGAAAATTTCTATTTCTTCTTGGATGTATGATTTGTCTATTTACTTCGATTGTATTCTGATTTTGGCTAATGTGTCGGATTCGATTTAAGTCCTGTTGTAGTGTGGAGTATAGATTATATGTTGGTTCGCTTAATGATTCTTGTCTTTGAACTGGTTCTAAGGGTTCAGATAAGGGAGCGTGTCGTTCAAAATTGTATGGGTTATCTTGAAATGAAATTCGTGTGGATGTTTGGGGGTTCTGGGTAGTTGTTGGTACTGTTGGGTTTTCTTGGGAAGTTGTCGGTGAAGACTGATTTGGAGGTGTTTGGTTAGCAATTTTGAAAGTGTGTTTGCAATATTGAATAACTTAGTGAGAAGATTTATGTTTGTTATAGTATTCTTCGATGAATAGAATCAAAAGAATCGTGGCTAATGCAAATGTTACTATT